GATAAATAGAAATAAACTGATATAAATACGATATTAGTATAAGTAATTGATAATTCAATAATAAATACTAGTAATAAATATTAGTAAGTAATAAACAAATATTAGTAATAAATACTAGTATAGTATGTTACCATAAGTAAACTGATGTTTCACGTAAAATATCGCGTCTTGAATTTCCAGCAAGAAGAAACGATCGAAAGTTCAGTCGAATTTTCACAAGATAAATTGATAAATAGAAACAAACACAATACTAGTATAAATAATACAATAATAAATGCTAGTAACAAACTGTCAACTACAAATATCGCGTCTCGAATTCGCAGAAGTAAGGAGAAACGATCAAAATTTTAGTCGAATTTTCGCGAAATAAAGCACAGCTGACAATTTCACAAGCTATCACGTCTCGAATTTCCAGTAAGAAGAAACGAAATCAAAATTTCAGTCGAATTCTCGGCGCGAATCTTCTCGCAGAGAGACAATGACGGCCGGATAATTAGGTTGTCCGCTCGGCGAAACTAAAATAAAAATCTGCCGCGAACTGAATCAAACGAGCTACTATAAATAAAACTCGGTGCACGCGAGCACGCGATGCGAATGAGCGTCATTAAAAAAAAAAAAAAAAAAAAAAGAATCTAAACTCGCTAAATGAGAGCATCGTTGAAGCTCGTGATTTGGACCATTTTATATTTAATTTTTGTAATATTTCATTTTCACGATCAATTGGACTTATTTTAATATTTACAATTGAAGGACTGACAGGATTTACATTGTCAAATTCATCTGTTGATATTACTTTATACATATTGCGTTGTAGGCCATTTTCACTGCGTATCATCGATAAAAATTTCATTCGTTTCCTTTAATTTCAGGATTATTAGTAAATCAAAAATCACTAAAAAATTTCAAAAAATTTCTCTACATATTTACTGGCGTTAATCTTATGGTTTTCTGTTCCTGTGATCTCGGATTGAACGGCAGGAACGTCACACCGACGCGGAGGACGCGTGAACGCCGGTTTCCGCGGTTACGATCTCATTCTCAGCGAGGCGAGCTCGACGAAGCGCGGGCAAGCGGTGTCGCGGCTTTTGAATTCCAGTCTCGACCGTGAACCTCGTTCATTTCGGCCAGTCGTATTGGCGAGTTGCCAGATATCTCTGTCTCTCTCTCGATGGCCCTGCACCACTGGTGCAACGTGTCTAAACTCTAAAAGATCGTCGCCACGGGACAGAGCTCGGGAACGTCTTTTCACTGCTGCGCTCTCCCCGATGCGCAATCGCGTTCAAGTGCATCACACCGGAGGTCCAATGCCAATCTGAGCTGCGTCGCATTCTCAAACCAGTTTCCACCGCCGATAGAACTTTGGCGAGAGGGGGAGGGAGCGTTTTCCGTCGCGCAGTGCATGCGTCACTTTACGTCATCTCGCCTCCGGGAAATGCAATTTCCCTTATTCTCCAAAGCTGTTTGAATGAGAACGAGAACGAGAAGTAGTAATCAGTAACAGTGGTCTAGGTAAGTGATAACACTCTACGAGAGAGTGTTCTCAAAGCATTTGAGTCGTTCAGCTTCGAGACAATGCAATTTTTGTTGGAACTGCTTTCTCGCAGTTCTTCGTACCGTACCGTTTCTTTCATTTTTGAAAGATGAATGAGAATGAAATAGTAGTAGGTAAGTCTAGCGAGTAATGTTCTGAGGCTTTAAATCATTCAGTTTTTAGAAGGGGTGTCATTTTAACTCCTTGCGCTGGCAACTGGTTCGCGGACCATAACGAGTGACCAAATCGTGTACAATAATTCACTTTTTTCTTTTTGAATCGGTATGATATCATTGGATAGAAATTATTACTAAGAAGTAATAAATCTATTATTTGTTTTGTCTGGGTCATATTTAAAACTGAGGAAATATTGTAATTTTGGGACAAAAAATTCTCAACATTAAGGTTAACCTCTTGCGCTGGCAATTGGTTCGCGGACCATAACGAGTGACCAAACTGTATACAATAATTCATCGCTTTCCTTTCGAACTCGTTAGTGTGATATCACTGAATAGCTATTATCACTAAAAAGTAATAAATTTATGTTTTGCTTGGGTTATATTTAAACATACTTAAAACTGAGGAAATATTGCAATTTTAAAACAAAAAATTCTCGACGTTAAGGTTAACCTCTTGCGCTGGCAATTGGTTCGCGAACCATAACGAGTGACCAAACTGTATACAATAATTCATCGCTTTCTTTTCGAACTCGTTAGTGTGATATCACTGAATAGCTATTATCACTAAGAAGTAATAAATTTATGTTTTGCCTGGGTTATATTTAAATATACTTAAAACTGAGGAAATATTGCAATTTTGGAACAAAAAATTCTCGACGTTAAAGTTAACCTCTTGCGCTGGCAATTGGTTCGCGGACCATAACGAGTGACCAAATCGTGTACAATAATTCGTCGCTTTTTTTCGAATTCGTCAGTATGATATCATTGGATAGAAATTATTCCTATGGAAAAAACTATATTCATGTTATAAATTACATCTCCTGTTCTTTGCAAGATCATCGGTTTCGAAAAAAATTGCAGATGATCGATGCGCATCGATACAGTGCAAACTTCGTTTGTATCATTGAAATTTGATTTATTGTTCGATCAAGCGAACCAGTGTCGATTATCTCTCTTATCTTTGAACGTGAACTCTTGCTAACACCGATGGAAACTCACTGGCTGTGTGGGAAATCAGAGAGCTGCTATTGTATATGAACTCCGGTTATATAAATCGCGGCTCTTCCGACAGATCTTCCGTAATAGAAATTTTCGTTAGGTTCCATTTATTATACAGATTACTTCCTTTCGCGCTAGATATTACGCTTTCAACGAAAGGAGCTCTCAAAGATTGATAACATCATCCATTTTTGCGCTATCGATCAATTTAAATAATTAATTTAATTTTTAATCTTTTTCAATTTAATTTAAAAAAAAAAAATGTTTTAATCTTCCTTCAATTTAATTTGTAGTTTCTCGAATTTTTTACCACTCGATTGATCTTTTTAATGCCTCGTGTTTCGTTCATTCGTGCGCTTGATTCATTCAACGATTCAATAACTCCCTCATACTTGGAAAAACACGCCAGTTTTCCTAGCAATTGCACTTTTTGCAGTGCAATTTTAACGCGGCGATGGACGACAGGGGATCACAGGTTTTCACATACGTACTACAATGCGCGTATAGCACAATGTACACACGGTTCGTTGTCCAAGAGTCGAAGAGTAACTCGTTCACCGGAGCGAAGCATTCGAATTAGCACGGAAGAAAATCACCGTGCCATTCAGCGCATACATTCTCGCGACTGTATTCCCACGGAACTGAATCCCTCGCCCTTTTCTTTCGTTCTCCTCGCATTTTCTCTCGAACTCGAACTCGAACGCGAGTGCCTCTCTTTGTTTCAGAAGGCAGGCACAAGTAAAGTCGAGTAAATTAAATTGAAAAGAGTAAATAAACTTTTTCTTTCCGTAGGAAATAAAAAGGAGAGAAGAATTATTCTTATTTTAAATGGAAATAAATGAATTTTCCTCCGAGGAGAAATAAGAGAGCAAAGAGACGAACTCGCGTCACATTTTTTTATTGGATTACTGCGAAATTACTGTATTGCCTGACAGGTTGTGTGTGTAATTTGCAGAATCGGGTCAGCGATGGGGATAATCAGGTGAAGGGAAATATAATTCTGTCGCAATTGCATATCAATGTGTATTCGTACGGATTCGAAATACAATGCAACCTTTCCCGCGAGGAATATCATCCAAAGTATTCTTCAAACGCGTTTTACTAATGTAGCCAGTTGTGCTCTCTCGCCGAGATTGCTCCTCAATGTCGAATCTTTTTAATGGTGATCATGTCTGTTCAATCTTGACGCGTTCTTTCAAGAAGAACGATCGAGAAAGGAAGAAGAAGAATTGGTTTTTGTCCGGAGAGATATAGAAATAGAAATTGACCATGAGATGAAAAGAAAAGAAAAGAAAAAGAAAATCATAATTCTTCTTCTCTTTACAGAATATTATTCTATATCGAAAAATATGTATCAAGAATTAATTTCTAATTCCCTCAAACATGGCGACGGCAGACCACAGATCTGTTCTTCATCGCAATTATCGTATTTTTATAAACACAATTGAGGTCTGCTGCGTTTTTAGATTTCACGTATAAAATCCATAAAAAAATGCATAAAAATTCAGTTCTATCGACTACAAATTAAAAAAAAAAAAAATTAGATCTTGTGTACCGAAAAAATCGAACTTGACGATATCTTCAATCTGAAAGAGACAGCGAACTGAAAGCTCGGACCTAACTATTGAGGCTAATAGCGAGAATTTCATTACGCACGCGTGAACGCGCGAGGAGACCGCAGAGAGAGAGAGAGAGAGAGAGAGAAAGAGAGCAGCCAGCGTGAAACAGAGAGTGGTGTTTGAAAGTTCATTGAACAATCGGTTGGAACGAGGCAGCTGTCGGCCCGCGATATGTAAATGGCACGTAAATTCGTAAGCATCGCGTGCCCGGCCCAGAGAGAAAGAAACCCTTTCAAGGGAAATCCTACGAGGAGTGGAGAGGAGAGGGAGGAGGACACATTGATCACGCTATCATTTTTACGCCACCGAGTCACGAGGAGACCCCCTCGGTCTCTCCTTTTCTTTCTTTCGTTTTCTCTTTGAAAGAGATCGAACCGATCGTTTAATCACGTTTCAGGCCTGTTTTGCCCTCCTTCTAAAGAAGAATCCGATAAAGATTCTAAAGAAGATTGTGTCTGCAGGTAGATCCGATAATTGGACTGCTACACGAGAATAATAGAAATGAAAAAGACTTCAACAGAGAGAAGTCCACTCTTTACCTGCAATATACGTACACGTGCAATTTTGAAATTTTGCTTCACCTAGGTACTAGGTCATTTTGCTTTTCCAGTATCTTGTCACACGGATGATTTTTCAAGAAGATCTTGCCTAATCTTTCTTTGAAATATTTAATTTTGATTGTATGATATTTACTTTAATTTAATAATTGTAATAATGTAAATGTAATAATTTTTACATTTATTTTTATTCTTTTGTGAAATCTTCTTGTAAAAAGTCCAGTAAAATATTTCAATCCATTATGTGAATTTATATAATGAAATTTATTATACCTCTATAGTGACCACACAGTAGGAAGAGAGTTTCAAGAATTTGATTGCAAAATTCGTCGTTCCGTTTTATTCTCATAATGCGTTTCTTTCAATTATTCACGTGTTACGAATTTTCCAATGAAATAGAACGCAACTATTGATAATGTATCACTATAATTTATGTTCACTCTTGCATCTCATAAAAGTAAAGTCGGAATTTCCTGAATTATGAGTTCACTTCTTATTATATTTATAATCCTCTGTACGTTTTAATCAATTTTATATAGTAATGTAAAATAGCTAACAATTTTTCAATGTCAATGTAATTTCAATAGCTTGTAATAATTTTCAGACTAATTATTACATTTATGATCCTCTACTTTGTTCCATTCAATTTCACATATGACAATATAAAATATCACAGCTAACAATTTTTCAATGTTACAATAG